GCATTTTCTACATTTGCTATCTGCTATCTCCACGTGTACTCCTCTTTTATCGCTTCAGCTTTCACTACCTTTATCCTGAACCAGTATATTAAGTGATTCTTGCACTGATGCTATAGCTTTAGTCACTGTTACAGAATATTTCTGCAATACCGCACAACCTCTACACTTGCTGTAGTATACCCCTTAAAGACTCAGATATGAAGGTTATTTTCATTCATACTGGTACTCCCACAGATCCCTCTAACACACACATGGAGAAAAAAAAAAAACTATTTTAACTGGACCCCTTTCTACGACTAAAGCACTGTTAGAGAGCTTGTAGAGAAAAAATTAGGTGCCTACCATTTAGTGACTTTTTTAACAGCTACTATAATTATTAAATGATGACATGGGATCTCCTCATTCAGCTTATAAAACCTAGACTTCACTTAGTCCCTAAGCTCTATGACAATTTATAGAAAACAGTTGATGTGAAGAGAGCAACATTTTGGATATCAAATGAAACTATCACTCATAGTTCTAGGAAGGATATGCTCATGACACAAGTAGCTCTTACATCATCTTCTCTAAGAGGATATCTTTTATTTATGTGTGATCATTGTCTATGAAGTCCATGGCTAGCCTCAGGGAAAAGCAATCTAAGCAGCAAAAGGCAGTGCAGTGTTCTTATTTAATATTTGCACTGAAGTGCTGCAATCAGACAGAAACTATGTAAATATTTTTGGTGTAATAAACAGACCAGAGAGAGAAAACTTGATGCTTTATTCCTCAAACAAAATTTGTATTGAAATCAGTTAGAAATCACTGAGAGTTCTGATCAGGTAAGTTTTAAACATGAGCTACAGATGTGGTATGTTTACACTGTCAGTTAAACAAATACATTGACCTGTCTTTGTAAATCTTATTGTTTTTTCTAGGAATCAATATTTGCACTTATTTTTTTCTGGTTTTCTCCCTATGCTAATGATTTATTTTGAACAAATGTTAGCTAACAAATTCTACTGTGCAAATTAGCCTATATTTTCTTCATAAGCTCTCGCAGTCTATTAAACTATTGAGAGTTTACAAAAGTAATGCAAACCTTTATGGCACCACAGCTACAGGGTATACTGAATGTAGTGATTTATACAGTGAATACAGTGATAGATCTATAAGGTTAAACTTAATTTTATTTTCTGATTTGCTCCTCTGAGTTTTTAATTATTTTCTTTAGCATGCATTCTTGGCAGAATTAGTACTGACAAGCCATTTTTTTAAATTAAACATAATTTGAAATCTAGCAGTTTGAAATGGAAATAATCTTATAGCCTTCCAGTCCCATTCTTTTAATGTTACTAGCTCAAACCAATGCAGCAAAAATGGATTATTTGACACTGTAAAACATCCTAAAGCCCTCTGATGCACTTTTATCCTATGCACGTATGTACTGCATACAGACACAATTCCTTTCCAAAATTTCTTATCCTTCCTGATGAGAAATCAATACCATTTTAGGTAAAATACCTTTTTTAAAAAATGGATTTCTCTCCTTTAATAGGTAAGAAACCCTGTTAATATACTGTCTTTGTAATGTCCATACCAGGGGTGTCACATTTATAACTTTCTGTGAAACAAAATTTAAGGGCCAGCTGGTGGTCCTACGACAAAGTAATGTGATATCATTAATGAATATAGCACTTGAACTCTGAATGTCTCTCAATTCCATTAAGAAATACTGTGGAAAGAAGGGGTTTGGCTCAGACGGAACAAACCAAATGTTACAGTGCTCCCAGCGGGCTCTTTCTGACCATATAAAAAAGATACAACAGTAAGTACTAGAGAGAGCCCCATCCTCCCTGACTTGAACAATGAAAAAGGAAAATTCAGTTCAGGTCCTTTGAATCCAAGAATAAGACACCATTGTCTCAAAGCAAGAAAAAGTCTCCAACAAAAGACTTGCAGGGCATCCCAGTAAGATAGCACCAACTTCAAACTGTTAACTCTCATTAGTTCACCTGTGATAATCACACAGTGAATTTTATTAAGAAATGACTGCTTCCTTCAGTATCCAGGCTGACTTTCAAACAAACTTCCACCGTTCACTGGTAAGCACATGTGAATTTTATTCTGAGGAAATCTGCATTTCAAGTTCCAACATGCTTCAAGTTCAACACAAAGTATCATGCTGAGAGGGCTATTAAATGTGAAGTTTAAATATCTGCCCAAGAAGAATATGTTCAAAACCATAACAGGACACTTTGGATTAACTGTGTTTCTAGCTAGGGAATTTTAGGGACTTAACAGCATTACTATTTACACATTTCTGCATCTTACTTCCAGGCAAGGACAGCAGAGGAGCAGCATTCCGTGTATTTCCTCACTGCAGTACATGGCAAAGTAATTCGGTACTGATCTTGTCATTCAGAACACATTTTACAGTTGCACTTCCAGTTTCTTCTGACTATTCAAACCTGTGAGATTTTTCGGAACATTTTGTTTCATATATGCTGAATATCATTTATCACATTATGTCACCAAATACTTTGCCAGTGATTTTGAAGGAAGTGTTATAGCCTCATGCATGTTTTTACTCAGAACTATCATCAAATCACACTCACTGTGATTCATTCAATTTTATATTTTACCTAGTATAACTGTTTTTTTCATAAACGCAGTTTGAAATGGAAATGGATGTTGTAGGAGTACTATTAATTTCAGAAAGACATTTGCATAATTAAAGAAAAGTAATAAAGTACAATATAGACAGATGTTACATATACAGATACTGCGTATTAAGAACAATACGGCTGTTGATATAGCTTACAAGATGGGGCAATAGTGCTCTATTTCAGATTTTGTGCACTAGAATAGCTTTACGAGACACTCAACTGATTTTATTTAGGGTCCCAGAGGTGCAACAGTCAATTGATTTACTATCAAGCATACCCGCAACACAATGCTCCAATGCAGAATACTCCATCTAAAAAATGCAAACCACAATAGTGAGCTGTTGCAATTTGAGTTAATTTGGCAATGACGAGGCCTTTTAAGAACTGGCATTAAAATTTTAATTAGAAAAAAAAAAACAAAACCAAACAACCCAAGATGCAGTGTTGGCTGGAGTAGCTGGAGTAAAAACCTTTAGCATGAAGTAAGATCTGAAGTGCTGTCTCTAACACTATGTCCCGGTAGATGACTTTAGGGAGGTCTCTTCCATTCTCTGAGACTCTGTTCCCTCTTCCTTAAGGGACGTGGAGCCCTTGTGTTTGTTTCACTCACTTCAATTGCATGGTTTTTTAGGCAAGGACTTTCAGAGTCTGTTTGGACTCTGCGTTACTGCCATGCAAAGAACAATAAAATGTCCATTTTGCAAGAACTGGAAGATTCTTCCAACTGGCAAGACTACAGCTGCTACATCCTCTTTATGCCATGCATAGCCCTGAACATATTTAAATTAATGGGCTGCTCTGAGCCAAGCACATATTTGTAGTCTGCTGTGGAAAGATATTATGAGAAATATACTGGTGTCAAACTAATCATATTAATACAACATTGTAAACTAATGTTGCTGCTTTTGCAGCAGACATGAACAATAAATTCTATTGTAGAGGATACTTGGTGATTAAAAGAAGAACGGTGTAAAGACTATAATGTGAACACAATTTTATTGCTCCATTATAAAAAAAATAGTAAGGTAATGTCAATGTGAATTACCATGTGATCTCCAACATTAAAGCACTACAACAAAACTAGCAAGTTACTGAAGTGAAAGCATGCACATGACATAGTTACTTAGTACGTAGCACTGTTATAATAGCAAGAATCTAAGCTTTAAAAAGTAGAGAATTTGAGAGGCAAAGAGTCTGTGTCCCAATTCACAGAGGGCACATAATAAAAAATTATTTGAGATACCAAGGTTTGAAGTCTACCTAAAAAGACATGAATGAGAAACAGTTTAGGAAACTGGGAACTTCACCTTTGTGAAACATTTAAATAATATTCAATTTATCTATTGTTCAAAACATGTTAGATTAACTGGTTGTATTTGATCTGAGGTTTCCTGAGATTTAATGGCTGCCTGTCATTAACTAAATTTTTAAATTATTTGTATTCATGCACAAAAACCCAACATCTTGGTTAATAAAGCTTGGTTCACAAAGGAAACATTGCTCAAAATCTTCAAGTACCCATGGAAGATGGCAAAGACCTGAAGCTTTAACACCAGGTCCCACATTGTCCTGCTATCTTCATCTCTCCTTTAAGTGAGTATCACCCTATCACCCAATAATTACAAGATGTGAGCACCAGCTCCTGAATAAGTAAGTTTTGGCTTACTCTCTTTATGAGGAAAGTTTGCAGAAAAGAACACCTATTCCCTAGTGTCACATTCTCCTACATTTGGCATCTTTCTACCATCTCTAAGGTGTAGGCAAGGACAAGGGTTTTTATACACTTGGGCAACACAGCTGTTATGCTCTCCATTTCCACATTTTCTTCCTTAGCAGAAGAAGGAAGACATTTCAGGTGATCAGGATGACAAACATAACTAACGGAGTAAAAAATTATGCCTTCTGTTATATAGCCACTATTATAGCTCCTACATGAATTTATAATTTTTGAGTGAAGAAACCAGATGTTAACTGATATTTCAAGGTACTTTTTACTTAGTATGTTACAAGGTATGTATCACTTTCAATGGCCTATATATTGCACAGTTTCCTATACTTCACTGCACAGATATCAATATGTGTCAACCTGTATCATTTCTTAATGGAATTGAATTCAGAATATATACTCTGCTGTATTGCAATACCTCAAAAATACTGCCTACACTCTATTATTCAAGACAGTAAAATGATGCAGAAAACAATTAACTGCTTTTTCATTACTATGCATATATATATATATATATATATATATATATAAATTATGACATTCATTGCAAACCTACAGTAGCTTAAATGTTATCTAGCAAACTGCTACAGCTTGCCTAGTTCATAGAATTATTATTTTTGGCTTACCCAAATCTGTAGCTTAATTCTTTTTTCATTTTTGAAAACTGTTTTTACTTTGAAATCGATCCCAACTGTGCTTACAAATGCAGATGTAAAGGAATCATCAGCATATCGGAACAAAAAGGAGGTTTTCCCAACACTGCTGTTGCCGATAATGAGGAGTTTGAACATGTAATCAAAGTTCTGGTCAGATGTATCTTTCTGGCCATATCTGGAATCTTGAGCAGATGCCATCTGTAATTCAAAATAAAAAGAAATAGTTTATTGTCTCTTGTATCATATAAAACTGTAAACATGTAGATTTTTGTTGGAGCTTTTGATACCAGGTATCAATGAACTCAGTAAGAAGTTCACAGAGATTTACTTCTTTTTTATGATTCTTGTATCCATGGTAATAGTTCAAGTTAAATAGAGGATGTAAAGATCACTGGTGATTGATACCAAAAAAAAATATTCTAAAAATCCAGGATAGATCTTGAGTATATCATTAAAAAGATCAACCTTCAGAAAATGCAACGGATTAAACAGATGGTGAAAATATAGACAAAGATGCTTCACTTGTACAAGAAGAAAATAAGACATCAATGCTATGTTATGACACAGGACGTATATTTGTAAGAAAAAGCTTAATTTGTTTTACATCTGATAAAATTCTTGAACTATTTATTTTACTATAAATATGCTGTTGGTTTCTGTAATGACTATAACCTTATTCAGATCAATTTGTCTTTACCTGCTTTCATTTATCGTATCATTAAATGGTGAGTTGGGTATATACCTCTGAAATAAAGTCTTATTTTTTCTACTTCTAGTCTCTTCTATAGTTCTGGAATTTGCAATGTTAACGCAATAACATCCTAAGTGTCAGTTGTCAATCTTTTAAAATTTGTCTCCCTAACATACAGATTCTAATTCATATAAAAATCCTAAATACTGAATACTGCTAAATAGCAACCTTATTTTGCTTTAAAATCATGGGTTCTATTTATAAAAAGTACACTTTCACTTTTCAGAGAGTTGCAGAGATTAACTTGAAAGCCTGACCAAAATTCTACATGGGATGCTCAGAAAACAGATGGCAAAAATAAAGAACTTAAAACTAGGTAGTGTTTCACCTCATATGCTTTTATAGAAAAAAAATCTCAAGTATTTTGAGAGCCTGGCAGGATTTTAAATTCTTGGAGTTTAGTAATACTAAGGGCAACACTTCCGCACACTGATTTCAGACAGAAAGACAGACATCATATCCTAACATAAAGGTTTATGGAAAAGCAGCTCACATTAAAGCTTTCTAAGTTAGACACCTCAGAGCGCATTCGGGCAATCAGAGAGGACAGCTGGAACCAGGATGAGGGATGTACACTAACCTAACTTCTCAGCTGAATTTCTATTACTATATATATTTTCTGAGCTAATTCTGCTGTCTCATAGTACAAATAACAGTCTGACAGCCTCTTAGGGCTACTGAAGAAGCATATAGAAGTGGGGACAAAAAGTCTGGAAGGAAACAACAGAAGTAGCAAGCTTTTGAGAGAACACTCATTGTAATGTTTATAATTACTAAATAACACAGTAAAGGAGTGTTTGATTTCAGAATTACCCTTTTATTTGAAAGTGACTGAAGTTCTTGATTAAATGTACTCTTGGGTATCTACATGCTTGCACCTTGAGTGTTTAATATTTATTCACTTCTTTCACAAGTGTGCAACAAAAAAGTTTTAGAACAAAAACCTAATTACTACCAAGCATCCACATCATTAATCTTTCAACTTTCTGATTTCCATAGCAAAAGACAGAAACAAATCTTGTCCATTCTCCCTTGTTGTAAAACTATCTTGCTTAGAACATGAAAAAAAAAAAATCAAATGCTGTTTATACCAGTCTAATCACAACTGCCTATAAAGTAGTAAAAAGTATGCTGTTGTGTACAGTTTGCAGCAACAAGTCAATAAAGTCCAGCAGACAGAAGACTGTGCAGTGTCTGGGGATGCCTGTATACAGCAGCCTGTTCTGCTGTCCTTCTGACTCCTCTCTGTAATGCAGGAGCTGAAACCAGTAGTTGCCACTTCTAGCAAGAAGAATAATCACTTTGTTTCTTGATTTTCCCCCTTCAGAAGTCTTCCCCATGTACCTTCTTCAACTCACAGTTTTACAAAAAGGGGTTTTAGTGTTCATTTCATTTGCTGCCCTGAGTCCTGTATGCCTTACAATTCATCCCCATGTAATTTAAAGCCTAACAATTCAGAAACAGTATGATTCAGTGAGCAGAGGAATCAGGAGACCTGGATTCTAATAATAGTCTTGCTAAATCTTGTACATTATGTAGCCCTCAGTGTAAGAACACATTTCCTGTGGATGGTTTTAAACACAGAAATTCCCCACAAAGAAATTTCAGTGCTCCTCTAAATTATTGTGTTTATGTGTGTTACCCATGCAATAGTTTCCTTAAAAGTTCTTTAAAAATAAAAAAATAAACGACAACACCTTCACTGTGCCTTGAACCACTGGATTCATTACTTGCAGAACCATAGGTAGAATTATGGACAAGTTGAATACAGAATTGCAGCCAGCTTTTATTTCAGGGGTAGGAGTATGTCTGCCTAATAGAGGATGCAGAATGCAAAGGAAAGGCCTGGAAAAGACTAATATCTCCACCTCCCACCTGGGGAATCATGAGATTATTAGTGAGATACTGATAATTTAAACTGTTTGGAGAGACTAACTTCAGCCTGGAAAGCCAGTCTCCCTAGACTACCTATAGTGATCCTTCCTCATGTCTAAAACCCAAATGAGTTTTAGAAAACTGGTAGTCTGCACACAAATCAAACTCGCTATGGGTGCTAAAACTTTGCCATTACTTCCCGAACTCAGTCATTGTGTAGTAAGCACAAAGTCAGATTCTTCAGAGTACAATTCACATCCCCTACACCTAAATGATACTCTAGAGGAGTCTGTATTTTTCCTCTGTAAGGGAGACCTTGATGCTTGGTCCTCTTGAACTTTGTCAACATGCCTTCAGTGCTTCTCTTTCTTAAATGTAAGCTGCTGACTTCAAGTAAGTATGGGATGTACTGTAGCCCACCTCCCAATGCATTGCTATGGTAGTTCACTCCTAAGAGGACTTGTCCCTATTATGGAGGCATTTGGCAAAGAAATGTGAAGAAGCTAGTGCTGATGTTATGTTCCTCTTTTGAAAATGTTGCTGGAAGTAATCACCAGGAAGGTTCAGACCTGAAATTAGTACTACATACATGGATGAGAACTAAATAAAGATGCCAGTCTTGCTAATGCTATAATATTCTGTTTCCAAGAAAGAAAACCTCATACCTTTATTTTGTCAGAGTTCTCTTCTCAAATGATTAAATGAATATATTAAACAAGCATCACTTTCAGCAAAATGCACTGAGTTTTGTCTTCAGTAAAATTTTGTCGTTATTTAGTAAAATTGAAGACAGAATGCGCAAGGCTATTTTCATGAGCATATTGTATACTTGCTTTACTGTAGAATGAGTCGCTGTTCAGATCGCTACACCCATCAGGATGTTAGCACCAGAGGGAGTCTCAGGACACCTCCTAGAGGACTCAGGACAGGCTTGAGAGTCCACTGTGAAATCTAAGCTCAAGACAAAGATCAGAAGACCTATGGTCAGGAGGTCTCACATGCCTGCTCCCTATGAAAACTGGGAAAGGTTATGTCCCCAGCTTGAATATGGTCCAAGGACAAAAAAGAATGGCTTTGTATGCTTCCCTGCTTACAGCACGTCTTTAAACTTCCTAAATCTGGCAATTTTAATCATTAAGCAGAGTTTTCTATATCAGATCCAGGCACTTTTCAAGTCTCATGTTCAGCTGTTTCCTTGATCCCAAAAGAACAGACTAAAACAGGGCAGGATTGAGAACAAATGTTTGAAAAAGTATCTGTTTATCTGTCACCTTCATGATAATAACAAATCCTCCTTAGAGGACCGCATTCTTTGACAGAATTAATTTGAACAGCTTTCTCATTTAAGCAAAGCAGTGTGACATGACCTCCTTGGCCTGCACATCACTTATATATGCACTCCACTTATGTATGCACCCCACTCTGGATGCCTAATGCAGGATGAATTGCCTCTGGAAAATATAATGCAAAAGGTGAGAAAAACTGGGATTGAAAATACTGAAATTCATTCCTTTGTGTCTTTCACAGATGCATTGTTTTCTTTTAAAAACTGTAATAACAGGCATGACTTAAAGGAAAAGATCGATAGTAACCCCAGGGAAAATGCTTTGTTTCTCTCTACAGTAAGGATAGAAACTGAATAGCTAATTTGTTTCAAAGAGCAACACTCCTATATACAGTGTAGAAATAGATACATTTCCATTGCTTTCTAAAAAGAAACTGAGTTAGTAATTATTTTAGTAAAAGGACAGGGTTCTCTGCACATGCAGCTTTTTGTGAAGTTATCTTCTTGCTTTTTGTAAAACACAATTAGTCAAACACTTTAAATGGATATTGAAACAGTGGAATACAATGGGAAAATTAAATGTTTGTAACTCAACAGACTGTATGTAGGATGCACCGCAAGTAAGTGTCTTTAATGTGCAAACCAAATGTCATCAATGTTACCAAGATCCTTATATACAAGAACTCTATGACAATATAACACAGTCATGAAGAAATCAATGATTTTCCAGGTAAAATACCAAACCAATAATCTAGAGTTTGGATTTTATTCCTAACTCTTTCAGAGGTATCCTATGACTTTTGTTTTCCTTTTTTCTATACCTTGGGCAAGCTGCTTAACACCTCTTATTTTTGCTGTGTTCTCAATGAATACATCAGTATCCACAGATGCAGACCACAGCCAATTCTCACAAATCCTTATCATCTAATTTTTAACTGACCAACTAAGAAGACTTAACATAAGTTCAGTGGACCAGCCACTTACTTGGAATTTATAGATTGCCAGCCATCTGCAGAGCACAGCTTGTGAATCAATGTACTTGGCAGCATCAGAAGAAGCTTATCTGCTTCAAGGTATTATGAGGTTAGATTCATCGGTATGTGTAAGCATATCATAACCCAGTCTGAAAGGTAGTTAGATTTATTATAAGCGGCATACTGAAATGCCAAGTTGGGGAGTATCTGGAAGATAGAGAGAGGTGAGAGTCTAAAACCTTTTAAAGAAGCTCCACCTGCTTCGTATCTGCAGAAGTAACATGAACGTGGCCACAGTACTGGCAGCTGCCCA